ATTTTTTTAATAATGCTAATATATATAAAATAATTTAAAATTATGATAATAATATTATTGATATTATTATATACAAAAATATTATGCTGTGAAAAGGCGAAAATGAAAGAAATTGTATATATTTGATTTTCTTTTTGTAGAAACAGTGTTTGTGTGAAGTGATTCATGTTGTGTATATAATGTGTTCCTAAACTATTTAATCAAATTTTACGAGTAAATATTCTATGAATTATGCTATACATATTTAATAAACTCATGATTAAATATTTCGAAATAATAAAAGATATACAATTTTAACTTACAAATACAGAGATGTAATATTTTGGACATTTCAGACATTTGCATTCCAGATTATTTTATCAAGAGTGACTTTAATTATGACTTTTATTTCTATTCTTAACTTTACCATTAAGCTTACATATTTTATCTTTAACAAATCTTGACAAATAGTTTTTATCAGTTGTTGGTCATCTGGTTATCTCTTGAAGATAAAGTTTATTCTGTAACTTCTGTTAAAATTTAAAATCTGTGTGCCTGCATTCGAGAATTAGAGTTATAAATTAGAAAGAAAAATTTTGTTTTGCATATTTTTTTGCTGGTATGATTTGCAAAATACGTTGGTAAACGTCATTTGGATAAACATGTCTTTTAGGAATGCGATATATCACATTGTAAATAATGCAATCTCGAGATATGGAGGAATATTTATTATATAGATTACACAATACAGTTAAAGATTTTTAAAGTGTTTTATCTAATAATTAAATCTTCTCTCTCTTTCTCTCGCGGGCAGTATAAATTAGTTTCTTATCAGAAATCGTACTCTCGATTTATCAGTATGCGCATATTTGTTTTTCCATAAGCAAGAGCATCTCTAAAAAAGTGTAAAAATATATATATCTAAAATTTTGATAAAACTAAAAGAAGATTGAAATTAAAATTAAATTATAATAAAAATAATATTTTTAAAGATATACCTTGTGTTTTATATAAAAAGAAATAGGAAATATAAAATATTATTAAAAATTCAAATAGAAATACAAATATAGTTTGCATTAAGAATTGCAACTTTTACAGTATAATAATATGGAGAATTTTTCTTTTTATTAGTGTAATCTACGCTCGCAAGCAATGGGAAACGAAAAATTCCAATTTTCTATAGATCGCGGTGGCACGTTCACCGATATATATGCTAGATGTCCTGGAGGTAAAATCCGAGTTATGAAATTACTCTCGGTTGATCCGAATAATTACAATGACGCGCCGACAGAAGGCATTCGTAGAATATTGGAAGAGGTATGCATTATACATCATACATATACTAAAACTCATGTGTGTGATTGAATGCATAATATTTTCGCATTTTGAAACTTATTGGAAAAAATTGTAGCAATCTTTTCACAGTAGTATATATGTAGTTTAATAGTTCGCAACATAGACGAAAGTGATATTGATTGCAATTAAAATAAGTTACATGTATAAAAGTTGTAAGAAAAAACTTGTAAGCAAAGATATACAAAAATAAAATTGAATTGCGTTATATAAAATAGCGTTATATAAAGTAATCGAATATATGAAATATTTTACACAATATTTCTTTAATCTTAAAATTTCAAAATTTTTTATATCTTTTATAATTGTTTTTTAATTTTAGGAAACTGGTATTAAAATGATTGGTGCGGTGGATATCGCTAATATAGAATGGATCAGAATGGGAACGACAGTCGCCACTAATGCACTGTTAGAAAGAAAGGGCGCGAAAATGGCGCTATTAATAAATAATGGTTTCGAGGATCTTCTATATATTGGTAATCAGTCACGGCCAAATATTTTTGATTTGGTTCGTATAGTTGAATTCAACAAACATAATATTCGAAATTTCAAAATTTAGTAACTTGCAATATATAATTATCTCGAAATTTATCTCGATGCAGTACAATTGCGTTTATTACTCATTCTATCTCGCGTTTGATTTATTCTTGATTAAATATTAACAGGAGATAATAATGCCAGACGTTTTGTACAAATATGTGGTCGGGATAAAATGTAGAGTAATCCCAGCTCTGCCGGGAAGATGTCATATGGAGAATCAAACGTGGCGAAGGGTAAAGGGTTCTACCGGCGAAGATCTGTTTGTTACACAAGAACTCGATGAGGCACAATTGAAAGAAGATTTGAAAGAACTTCGGGATTTGGGAATCGAGAGTCTCGCTGTCGTTCTGATGCATAGCTATACGTTAGTAAATTATTTAAACAAAAATTTCTTTGCAACTGGCAATATTTTTCATAAAATCTTTTCTGAAAGTACATCATCAGTACTATAATTTCATAAAACCTTAATTATATGCTTATTCTAATATATTGCTATTGTTATATGATATAGTTATGCGGCTCATGAAATCAGAATCGGCGAATTAGCTCGAGAAGCAGGTTTCTCGCAAGTGTCTCTTTCACACGAAGTTATGCCGATGACTAGAATAGTTCCTAGAGGCTTCACAGTGTGCGCAGATGCTTATTTGACGCCGCACATTAAAAATTATTTACAAGTAATATTATTTTTTTAATTGCATATATAAAGAATTTGCACAAAAATCTAGCGGTTAAGCTATACAATTCTATTTTCAACCTGTAATGAATAAATTGTTAGGCCTTCTCTTCAGGATTTAAAGACAATTTGAAGAATGTAAACGTACTATTCATGCAAAGCGACGGCGGATTAACACCTATGAATTCGTAAATATCTAAATATATTTCTTGAAAAGAACATTTTTTTTTTATTATCTTAATATTAATCGAAATTATATTTTGTTGACGTATTAAAGCTTTAATGGATCACGTGCTATACTTTCTGGGCCAGCTGGTGGTGTCGTGGGATATGCAATGACGACTTACGGAAAGGAGACTAATTTACCAGTGATCGGATTCGATATGGGTGGCACATCGACTGATGTAAGCCGATACGGAGGAAGCTACGAGCATGTTTACGAGAGTACTACAGCCGGCATCGCTATACAAGCTCCACAGGTAAAAATCTTTTTTAAGATAATAATTTCAATAAATATATAAAATATATATCTTGAATATAATTAATCTTTTACTTCATCTCCTTGAAAGATCATTTCTCGGTTTATTTGAATAAAAATTGGGTTTTCAAGTTGGATGTCAATACAGTTGCGGCGGGAGGTGGATCGATGCTTTTCTTCAGGTCGGGTCTTTTCAAAGTTGGGCCTGAGAGCGCAGGGGCTCATCCTGGTCCCGCGTGTTACAAGAAGGATGGTCCACTGACTGTGACGGACGCGAATCTCGTTCTGGGTCGCTTGCTACCCGAATACTTTCCGCAAATTTTTGGGCCTGAGGAAAATGAGCCGCTCGATGTATCTCGTACGTTGACTATGTTCACAGAACTTACATACGAGGTAATTTTTTGATGTATAAAGATGAGATCTCCTCTCAAACATTTGTATCTCTTTTTTCTATTTTTAAGCAAAAATATTTCTATATCATCTTATGCATTGTAAAAGAATAAATTCCTTAAATTGATTTGAAATATTACAGATCAATGAATTCTTGAAGAAAAACGAAGCAATGTCGGTTGATGAGGTAGCTATGGGATTTATCAGAGTCGCGAACGAGACCATGTGTCGACCAATTCGCGCTTTGACTCAGGTATATTTAAATAATGTCAACTCATAACTTTTCTTGCAATAAAAATGTACTATTATCTTGGTAATATGTGTCATATTATTTTTTAATTATTTTTATATAATTTTTTTCATGAAACAGGCAAAGGGTTACGATACTTCTCGTCATGTTCTGGCGTGTTTCGGCGGTGCCGGAGGACAACATGCCTGCGCAATCGCTCGCTCGTTGGGCATAAGCACGGTTTTTGTTCATAAGTATGCCGGTATATTATCAGCTTACGGAATGGCATTAGCAGACGTTGTCGAGGAGGTACAAGAACCAAGCGCCGAAGCTTACGAATACGGTGATTTATAATTCAATTATATAATAATTTATTCATTAACAATTTTCTTTAATATAATTATATATTAATTTTACGTCGCGATGCTATCGCGTCGCTTGATGATAACAAGTTCCATTTTGCATGTTTCTGTTACTATACTTTCCACTTCGTATTATTCTGTAGAAAGTTTTGCCCGTTTGGATAATCGTTTGGATGCGATGGAAGCCAAAGTTAGAAGCAAACTCCGTGCGCAAGGATTTGCTGATTATCAAATAAAAACGGAATCATTTCTACACTTACGTTACGATGGCACCGATTGCGCTTTAATGTGCACTTCTGTAAATCAGAATTCAGGGGACACCATCACCAGACACGGAGATTTTCTAACTCCTTTTCTAGAAAGGTAAATTCTCTAATCTGAGAATTTAAAGCAATAATTTATTCAATTACTTAACTTGTAAATTTTCTCTTAATTAAGGTATAAGACAGAGTTTGGTTTTACCATACCAGGGCGCAAGATTCTGGTGAATGATGTGAGAGTTCGAGGAATTGGTAAAACCGAAATTCCGGAGGATCCCGTATTACCTCCTTCACAAGCTTCTCCGAAAGCTGAAAAGGTTAGATGATGATAGATGTATCGATAATTTTACATGGTTATTAAACGAATATTTTCTATATTTTAATTGCAATTCAATGTTTCAAACTTAATATATATTGGATCTTGTTAAACAAAAAAAAATCCAAAATGTTTTGAATTTTCTAGACTACCATGGTATATTTCGAAAGCGGCTATCAGGAAACCAGCGTCTATCAATTGAATTCGTTATCCCCTGGAAATATCTTACACGGTCCTGTCATTATCATGGATAGTTTGAGCACACTTTTAGTAGAGCCAGATTGTATCGCAGAAATCACTTGTCGTGGAGACGTAAAAATCACGATTGGAAAAGGTCTGCAAACGACAATTACCACTGATCTTGATACGATTCAACTCAGTATCTTTTCGCATCGTTTCATGAGCATTGCCGAACAAATGGGTCGGTACGTATATCAGTTAATAATTACAACTTTATAAAAATAATATGATTCTTTCACTGCTCCTTCAGAGATCGCGAGATAATATTTGCGTTCTTAATTTTTGATAGAGTACTTCAAAGAACTTCGATCTCTACTAATATTAAAGAGCGATTGGATTTCTCGTGTGCGATTTTTGGTCCTGATGGCGGTCTCGTTTCAAACGCACCTCATATCCCGGTGCATCTGGGCGCCATGCAAGAAACCGTGCAATATCAAATGAAAGTATTCAAGGGCGAATTCTCGCTGGGAGATGTTATTCTCTCTAATCATCCGTCAGCAGGCGGTTCTCATCTCCCAGATCTGACAATCATCACGCCAGTATTTTACAAGTCTGTATATCATTTACACATATCTAAAAAAGTTCTCTCTGAAAAATATTACATATACGAGCGCCGTACTCATTTTAAATATGATGTTTTAATGAACATAATTTAATTTGATGAAAATTAAGTATGTAAATTTTTTATGCAGGAATGTGCCTATGCCGGTATTTTTCGTGGCTAGTAGAGGTCATCACGCTGACATTGGTGGCATCACGCCGGGCTCGATGCCACCGCATTCAACGAGTTTGAATCAGGTACGAGAATACTGTCATCCAATGCTAACATTGTACAAAAATTGTATATATATATCAAAAATTTTTGTATAGGAAGGCGCTGTTTTTAAAAGTTTTCTGGTGGTACATAAGGGAATATTTCAAGAAAAAGAACTGACAGATGCTTTGATGGCACCAGGCAAAATACCGGGAAGTTCGGGAACACGAAACCTTTCGAACAATATTAGTGATATCAAAGCTCAAATTGCAGCAAATCAAAAAGTATAATTATTTCTATAAAATTTATATAAATCTATAATTTTCTTATTTTTATTCTCTTTGTCTCTCTCTCTTCCTCTCTCATTCTACAATAAAGATTTTATTTCAAGTTGAAATTTTTGCAAATAAAATTTGTATATAAACCGGTTTTCTTTTTTGTAAGGGTTCACAGCTGGTTAACGAACTGATCGATATATATAGTCTCAAAGTAGTTCAAGCGTACATGGGTCATATCCAACGTAATGCCGAAGTTGCCGTTCGAGAAATGTTAAAATCGATAGGTACGAGGATTAAGATGCGAAGACAGAAAGAAACCGACATTGATGCCATTGATTATCTCGATGATGGCAGTCCTATCAAACTACATGTGGATCTCGATATAGAAAAGGGTGAAGCAGTTTTTGATTTTCGGTATGTTTTTCTAATCGAATTACTCGCTATTTATTTATTTTTTAATCTATCAACAATTTGCCATTTTTCGTTGTTTTTCTATACAATTTTTATGCTCTAAATATAATCATGAAAAAAAAATACAGTACCGTATTTTCCTATTTTTTTAATCGCTTTTTGAGAAATTCTGTGTGTAATAATTTTATATATACACAATTGTAATAATTTACAAGACAATATTTGTGAATTTACAGTGGAACGGGTTATGAAGTATGGGGTAACTGCAACGCACCGCGTGCCATAACTTTGTCTGCAATAATTTATTGTTTAAGGTGTATGGTCGGTCGAGATATACCATTAAATCAGGTAACATCTCCTCAGATCTTCTTAGAGAAATTCAACGATAAATTCGTACTAGTGTCATTTTCTTTATAGGGCTGTTTGAAGCCGGTAAAGGTAATTATTCCTAAAGGATCGTTACTCGACCCTTCGGAAGGCGCCGCGGTGGTCGGTGGCAATGTCCTGACATCTCAGCGTATTGTTGATGTAATCCTAACAGCTTTCGAAATTTGCGCAGCCTCACAGGGTTGTATGAACAACGTCACCCTCGGCACCGAAGATTGGGGTTACTACGAAACGGTTGCTGGTGGTAGTGGAGCAGTAAGATAATTACAAGTTCAAATTAAATGATATATTTATATTTGAGTTTTAAATACACATTTGTGGTATTTATTTTAAACAATTTTAAAGAAAAGAAAAATTTAAAAAACAATTTTTTTTTACGAAGAAATTAAAAGAAAGATATAAAAACAGTTATTACGAATAATAATCTATAATATATGCATACGATA